GAAGAGCAGGTGGACGGAAGAACTCGGTAACGAAGGTCCTCCCAAAAAATATCGAAGTGAAGGGATAAACTAGCCTAACCCAAGGATTGTCAAATTTCATGTGTCCGTATGTGAGAGGCAAAGCAGCTCGAAAGCTCAGTTTACTTTCACCAGCACATCAATGAGCGACAAGTAAAACTGCAGCTCTCTATAACTTCTTGGTCAGATTACTTCTTGAGTTGGCATAATACAGATCAAAGAAATAACGAAGCCACGCCACATCATTCGATCTTGAGCTGTACATCATTTCCAGTTAGTAACTACTACCTCTTTGGTGTATATGCGCCGTCTCTTCGGAGGGTACCCTTGCGATCGCCCAGCCCCACTGTCTAGACGGCCTAGACAGTTACGGGCATGATAAACAAATCAAATCAAAACTAATAATAAAACAGGGCATGAAAAAGGATGTTACCAGAGCGTCCAGTAAGTGGTAATCGAGATTGTTCAACACCGAAGACATGAAAAGCGAGACGAGCTGAGTGGCACATTGCTGCTTGCATCAGTGTCGGCTGAGCTTGCAACCATCGAGCAAGCTGGATCAGTGATTTCGCTAGCAGATAATGCTCAGTGGTCTTCGTCGATGTCGCCGATCCAGGATTCTAAAATGGTAGTCGTATTCGTGAAAAAAAAACTACCATAAGAGCATATTTTTTAACTAAAACGCAAAATTTTGCCTTAGTGCGATTTGCGATAGCTTCCTCACCAGTGATAATTGATTTGAATGTCTGAGGCAATGAAGCAAATTAGAAAAGTGTTAAAGCTTTGCAGAAACTTTAAATACCAATACCAAATACTGATAGTAATTGACGAGGGATCGTAGCATCAGGGTAGAAGGATTGAAGGATGCAAGTGGGAGGGTGGAGGGGGGATGGCACAGCACGACACAGCTGCGAATGAAATATCCGGGGAAGCAAGAAAAGCAAAATCTGCTCAGTTAAAACTAGTGCTGATGAAAAATGCCTAATTATTGTCTATCATACTGTAGTTGCAAGGCTCCGATCCAAATATGATGAGGAATACAAGGCAACAACCCATCTGTTGTGAAAACCCTTAAAAAGTTGGTAAAACAAAGGAGGCTAGGCATCACGGGGTGCATGCATGCGGATGTCATTCAAAAGTTCTCGTTGTCAATTCTGAAGCATTAGGGTCGGCAGTGTAATGGCAAATATGCCACGATTCGATGGAATTGAAAAAATGAAAATGAGAAATTCCACTCCTTCCCGACCCGTTTCCGTTGTAAAAAGAAGTGGAAAAGGTAAGAATTCTGGGAAAAGGAAGGGAACAATATGCTGGAGAATTACTTCACTCGCTCCACTTCACTTCACTCGCTTACCACTGCTAACCAGCAGGCCACCTTCAGTCGTTAGAGTCCGGAGACCCTTCTACATCTATGATACGCAACCAGGGTTCTATTGCTGGGCAATTTTGCTATCGTATACCGCATAGGGGAATTACAAGTTGAACAGCTGCCAATGTTAGGGTATTGACAAAGCAAACTACATTCTTTTGAAAAGTATGAAACAATGGAAAAAAACAAAGGGAAAGTTTTACTTCAGTGGTAATTTGGTTGAGCTGAGCGGCCATTACGGAGATCAGGGCATCCGGAGGCACCGTTGGCGCACCATTGAACATCACGTTACTTTTGTAGAGCAGTCGATCCATTTCATTAGCGACAGCACTCAACAACAACGAAAATGCTTTTCCTTCGGCACTGATGCGATCCTGTCTTTTCATTTTCTCTTTTGCAGCCCACATCTGCAACAATGAATCACAACAGTTTCAGGATATGTCTTTTTATTTATTTCAAATTAACATCAAAAGTCAACAACTGGCCAACGCACAGGCTGCCCGTGCGAAGATGTTTTTTACTTAGCTCCTCGCAGATTTCTGTCGCTAACGGCACTGGTTTTTCTGGCAGATGTTTCTAGCTAAAAGAATTTCAAATTGGCCACTAGGATTGTCAGGAAACATCCCTTCACCTTATCATGAGCCAGCACCAATTTGTCATCGAATGGAATGAACAAGTCGTAGAGAAACAGGTTCCCGCAATGGCGAAGTCATTGCGCCTTGACTGCTGCGATGGTCATCGTCTGTGTAGTAGTCGAATAATACTTGAAAATAGTACACCTCGGACATTTTTTTGCATAAAAGAGCAGATCATGAATGGGGAAAATTCTTCATCGTTATTTTAACTGAAGATGAAATCGTAAAAAAAATCATTGTTATAAGTGTGCAAATTGATGCTTACCATTTTTGATGTGCCATAAAGTGTGTCCAGAGTACCAGCATTGCATAGGCCAGGGGGTACGGGTGGTGTAGGCATGTTGAAACCGTTCGGGACAATATTACCGCCCTTACCCACAGCGCCAGCATTCGTCTCATTTCCATACAACGTCTGAAAATTGTGATTGTGAAAACGGAATCGCAAAGAATATAATGATTATTTTCCGTTACAGCGAAAATTAGAAGATCGCTAAAAAACGTGAAACTTCCAAACTGAAGGTTGCGCAGATGCTTTTTGGCAATTTTCTATAAGAACCCGTCTAGGCCATAAGTAACAACGGCAAAAAACGACGCATCAAACTCAGCCTCTGCATGTCCCCATCCACAAAAAAAAAAAAAAATAAATGGCAACGCGCACCAGACTAGCCGGTGCGA